GGTTTATCTCAAACCACTTTCAGCCATTTTGAAATTGGTTTATGTGCACTGAATATCTGCTCCATTACAGGTTTAATCTAGTTTCTGATCACTTGGTTTATGTGTAATGTCTGTCCCTAGCCAATGGGGCCCAAACCTGTGATAGAGACCCCCATGCTACGTACTGGGTGGTATATGTGGAAAAAACATGGATCATTTCAGAATCCTGTTTCTAAATAAGTGTCACTTCTTGAGAGATTTATCAGGTTTAAGGACAAGTTAGTAACTTCTGTTTTTCAAGATGGGAGAAGGTTGGGGAAGAAAAAAAAAGCCACCCAAAAATTCCTAGTCATTTATATTTTATAAAGTTAAGAAAAGACTGGGTCAAAAAGACAACCTATTAAAAAATGACCAGGTTTTCAAGCCTAATATTTCAAAGAGCTCATAAAAAACTAGTGTCCTTGCACCAAGTTATTTATAGTGATCTCTCTCCTTGCTGCAGGTCTCAAACAGACCAAGAACAGAAGGATAGAAAGCTAAGCAACTTTTGTTTCTTTTTGGTGAAGCATGTACAAGAAGCAAGACAAGGAAAGTTACTTTATAGACAGAGGTTTTTTAATCCAGTTTTTTAATCCACACTTGTCACAGGCATGAAAATTCATTTTAAGCATGAATTATATTGAAGGCCGAATGTTATACACCTAATATATCTCCTCAAAATCGTCAGTTCTTATTGCAAACATCAAATAGCATCTCACTATCAAAGTTACTGAAACTGGGATTGCTGAAAAATATAAATTGAGAGTAATTAACTTCTTCTAGACTTCTTAAAATAGGATGCACGAGTTAAGAAGTAGATGCTAAGTCTTAGGGACAAAATGTAATAATTTGTAAATTCTCTTTAAATCTGTCACTATACGTGCAGGATGCACAGAAGCACTTCAGTGTTATTTATGCAACTTCTTAATGGAAGGCTGTACAGGAATGTTAACTAGACAAATGTTTACAATTGTACTAAATGTCAGTTTTTAATCATTCAGTAGCCTCCTAGAGGGAGTGGGGGATGGTGGAACAAGCTAAATAGGACAGGCTGAAACCAAACTACAGACAGACCCGAGTATGGTAGGAAGAAGCAGGTTTGCTATGTCTAAGGCTGCTATAATTTCTTTGATCATGGTAAAGTCCACTCTGTAAAAGAAAGAGAAAAAAGAATATATATACAATTACAAACAAAACTCTGTCAGAAAATTGCCCAACCATTTCCACATGCATCAACAGAGGGAACACTGTGCTACATTTCATTATGGAAAGGCCTCAAAATTGTTGCAATTTTCTGAAGAAAAGGCGATACTAAAATCAGACTGACATTCTGTAAATGTGTCAGCCTATGCTATGGTACTGTTTCTTTAAATGCCTCATACAGCCAATTATGGAAATATTGACTGGTTTGTTCCACTACAAAATTGATAAAGAACTTCAAAAATCTTGACATTATTACTTCAAAACTTGTCAAAGCTGAATAACAATAAATAGGAATATTTACACTTATTAGTTGAATCATTTTCCATTGGATAATTTGTACAGGCAGAACATCAAGGTAGGATACATTTTAATGGATATTTATTTATTACATTTATGTGCCATCTTTTCCTGTCAAAGGCTTGGGGCAACTTACAGAAGAGAGCAAAATAACTTGTAAAATAAGGAAAGTAAATAGGTTACACCTATTCGCTGGATCAGAGGCATACTGTGTATCCCAATGCTATACTTTGCAGAAGAACAAACAGACTTTCAGTATGATTACACAATTGGTTTTATAAAGTTATAGACTTTACTGTCCTCAATTAGGAAACTTCTCTTTCTATTTACACACACATATATAGACAAAAAGCCTGCTGTCCCTTTCTTCCAGTAGGATCAATACAATTTCCCAAAGGAATAAGGATCAGCATTGTACATATGTTTGAAGATTTCAGTTTTATTTATTTTGAAGACTAATGTTGGGAATGGAAACAAAACTGTGGATTTTTTCCTAAGATTATTGTTTTGAAATGTGGTTATAACTATAGTGTCAAAAATACAAAGACATTTCAGTACAAATAATGAATGCTGAATGCACAGATTTCAGGTGGGATTCTTTCATAAAGGCACTCAGCACGAAGCCTACCTCTTTCCCTGTGAATCAGTTCTGGTTATCAGTGTCAAGCCCTTTTGAAAATGCCATCCTAAAAATCATTCAAAATTACAGTTTTCTTGTTTATGTCACACACATCCAGTTTTAATCACACACTTTACCTTTATCCATGGAAGTCTTGCTACTACAAATATTTTCAAAGACCAGTAAAGACTTCTCAATGGTTTACGATTTAAGTTCTACTCTGAGTTACGTTTATACAATATGCTGACATGAACAGAGCTGCATGCATATCGTTCAGATGAGAATCTGACCCAAAACCTCAGATAAAAATCAGCCAGATATTTATTACTGTAAACAAAGACATGCATAGCCAATATCCTGAACATATATTGGAATAAGGACCCGTGGTATATTAAATAAGTAATACATACTTGTATGTAATAAGTATAATAAATACAATATTTGCATAATATATATATTGCATTAAAGAACTAACCAACAGATCTTTGTGGGAATAAGCATATTCCTTCTTTCTACCATGGGAGTCACTGTAAGCATGAGTCTAAGAGTAAAAATTTAGAAAGTTACAAACAGAATTTTGAACATCACCAGAGTACAAATTATGTATGCAAATTTAAGATGGTCATGCATTGTTGAGAAGCAAAGCCATAGAAAATAGTGACCTACCTAGTAAGAGACATGGGACTTGGGCCAGACAAAGAAGCGAGAGACTGACATCAGTAAACCCCAAAAAACAGAGTCACTATAATTTGGCTACAGTAGGGATCAGCAACTTACAGGCCATGGAGCCATTTGATCTGGCCCATGGATTTGGGGCTTTGGCAGCATGAGGTTTTGGCAGCTGCAGTAGGCGCTTTCGCTGTGCCATCACCTACCTGCCTCTAACCCAACCGGGTTACTTTGGCCTGCAGTTTAACAAGGCTGCTGACTGCTAAACTACAGGAAAAATACAATAAAAAACTTGCAAAAGACAAAAATTCAATGTGGCTCACACAAAACAAGCAAAACAATAATAGAAATTGCTTAGAAGTTAAAAAAAAAAAGTCATTCCTCTATATTCAACCTATTCAGATATCATACCAGCTTTAAAAAAGTCATTTATAAGGAATTTACAGGTTTTCTATAGGGAAAAATATGTCTGAAGCCTGTCTGCATAAGTGGACTCACACAAATCCTTGATGAATATGCTTACAAGTAGGTCTTGAGAGGCACCATCACATACAAAGCCACTTAAGCTTCTGAAGACTATTCCATTAAATATTTAAATAAAAATTTCTAGTCCTAGTGGCTTTGAAAACTAAAACAGTTTTAAAAAAATCTAAAGAGATCCTAAATCAAAGCATAAACTATCTGAAGTCACCTCTTATATGCAGTGTATTGCCTAAGCAGTCAGGTTATACACCAAGGAGCGGAAGAAATCCTTCTTGGAGAAGTCATTCCCAAACAACAGAGCTTCTCAACAATCATTTACGATTTTTGTAAGTATGACAGGTAGGAAGTTATTTGGGTTGCATATAACACTAGTTACAACTCTTTGTAGCAAAAAACTGCAACTCCTGACAGAGCTAGGCCCTATAACAGGGGGCAAATATGCCAAGGGAATTTATCCAGCCCACAGTGGATGCCTCAGCCCTACCTGGCCCAGGCGCAAAAGACAGCCCTGGCCATGGGGCTTGTGGCTGGTCCCACTGTCCCTGGGCACACAGTGACATAGGGGCAGTGCAGTGGCCAGACTCTGCTTTCTGGCAGCAGCTCCTTCCAGCTGCCACCACTAGCGTCTCCACTGGTGTTGGACCCGGCCCCACTGCTTGAGAGTCTGCTGTGTAAGAAATAAGGTCTGCCCACACTACTGCCAGAGGTGCTGGACAGAGCGGCCAGCCAGGGTCTCCATGGAGACTGGCCAGGACCCACACAAGCAGAGCATGCTCAGCCAGGGGAATGCAGTTCCTCCCCCAACCTTGGCTCCACACTGGTCTGGGTCAGCAACGCCTCCCACCCCCGCCTTCCCCACTCCCAACAGCTCACCCAGTCTCGAAGTGGCCCAAAAGCCAAATAATTGCCCCTTTCTGCTCTATATCATGCAAGGTGTGCACTTTCTCTAAACAAACTAATGATATTTCCTTGTTTCCTACATAGCAGACTCTCAGTGATTCTCTGTAGTTAGACCTCTCCTGAGGAAGAAGGGACAAGACTGTTTACCTCCGATATTATTTATGAAATGTGATCATTTAATCAAAACAAAACATTTCTATTTGCCTCTCTACATCTACCTATGATTACACAAATTCCTCACCATTACAAACAATTCTGAAGCAAGCAATTTTTAGAGCCCTTGTATAGATAAGCTGCCAAATAACTTTACTGTTTTAATAACCCCAGAAGCAGCCACTGTGAGCAGAGTTCTGTCTACTTGAAAATTTATAAGATCAGGGAAGTTGTTAGTACTGTACTGTCTCGCATACAACCTGCAACTTTCCCCCCAAAAGTCAGTCCCCCAAATTTTGGGTACATGTTTTAAGAAGGGAAGATGTTTTCTTTGCTACAGAAGAAGCACATGTGGAGACACCGTGCATGCCATGCAGCTGCCAAGGTGGCGGAGTTGTCAGCTGTTGGCTGAGTACCATAGATTGTGCCTGAAGCAGCAAGTGAGCAGCTGCTGGTAGTATCTTGATGAGGCTTATGATGTGGAAACAACTCTTAATTTACAGGAATTTATAAAAAGAACTACTTACAGTAAGAATTAACAGTCTTGCTATTGCTCTTGCAAGGATCTGGAGCCTAACCCTGCATGACGGAGTAAGTCCTCCCAGAAACACAGTGTCCAGGAAGTGTGGCCTCCAGGAGATGGTCTAGAGAGGCAGCTGGCACATGGAAGTTCCTGATGCCAGCTGCCTCATCTAGACCATCTCCTGGGACACAATTCCTGGACACTGTCAGACAACAGGCCCTGACCCTGGGGGGTAGGGGGGAAATAAATCTACATTCTACCTTACAAAAAAACAAGGTGCATGTTTTATTTTGGGGATGTGTGTTGCATGTAAGAAAACAGAAATACAGTATTTATATTTTATATTTAACTGCATTGGGAGGTTTTTCTTTGTTTTCTTTTGGTTTTTATAAAATTGCACATATACTTTTCCTAGAGTTAGACTGTGAGTACAAATAACTCTGGAAACACAAGAAGGTAAAATCAAGTTAGTGATCTAATTTTTGAATGTTCCACCAAAGTCAGTTTAATCGCATCTTTTAAAAAAGGAATAAAAGTAATCTTCATGCAGGCATGCATATTATCTACATACTGAGAGAGAGTAACTTGTAGATCGATCCTTCATGCCTTCATACTAATGTACAGTAAACAAAGATAGAAATCAATTTGAGAATTAAAAACAAGAAATCAAAATACAAAAATTCTAAACTATTTTAATATTTATATAGAAGCCAAAGAAACTAATAAAAAAAAAAAAATCAGTCTAATATAAACACAACAAAGTTCACCTGGTAAGGAATGGTATGCAGCCTCTATAAAGGTTTTGGGGGACGTGGGGTGAACAGACTTTTCATTTAGACTGATATCACTTAACTAATACAACCAATTTTCTTTAAGTGCTGATTTATAGCAGCAGTGGAGCTCTTGCCGCATAAAACATTTTTCATAATAGATATTGTCTATCTGTTGGCAATGTAAGAACGGTAACAGCATCCAAGTCCCTCTTCTATTTGCTGTTGGCTACCCGAGGCTAGTAGGAGTTAAAAGTAATGACAAAATTACTGTTTTTGTAAATAAAACAGATAGAGATTGTTATTTTTCATGGGCAGCAGATCTGCTGAGCAGTGTGATATCAGTTGAAGACTACCTTTTCTGAAATGTAAAGCAGAAAGGAAATTTGTTCCAGAACCTGTTTATCCACTCTGCGAATAAGCACAACTGGAGGCCTAAGCTGGCAGTCTTTTTCAGCAAGACATTGATTGCTGAAAGAGACCTTCTTTTTTTCTTTCTACTTAATTAGGCTTTCCCAAATATTCTTCTTCTGAAGCTTAAGGTCTGGATCTTCCTTTAACTTATATTAGTTTAGCTAAAAGATTTTAAATCTTAAATAGGTATAGTTTAACTGATGAAAAACTCTGCGTGTACAATCTCAATTTGATTTAAATCTGGTTTACATAGTTTAGTTTGCATCAATACACTTACAAATTAAGCTGACATAAATGATAAAAGTGCCTCTTCATAGACCTTTCCACCAATTTAAATTGGGTTTCAAGCAAATTTAGTGGTAATTACACAACTGTAATCTGTATATATAAGTGAGACCTGGATAGGCAAATATTCCTTCCAGAAGAAGGAAACAAAATCCAACCCAGAAAACTGTTTTCATACCTCTACATTCAGCTCAAAATGTATTAAAGAAACCAACAACTTAAAGTATTTAAATACTCATATAAAACATATGCAGGCAAATCATCTACACTAGAAAAAAAAGCATTCCAGAAAACTCAGTTAAGAGGTAAAAGTCTTTTATATTTCAGCCTGGCTTACAGATAAATTTAGTGATACTCACTGGGAGGAAAAAAGTCTCCTGCCAACATTCGTATCAATGACTGCAAACTGAAATGGTTTTCAACAACAACTTACCTCATTTTTGTTTTGAGGGGGAATTTGGAAATGGACATTTTCAAACATGACTTTTCCCCGCAACAGCACACCCAATTTACTTCCTGATCCAAACCAAAACTCTTGAATACCAGATTTCTTAGCAGTCATGCTTAACCTCTGATCCATGGGGCTCTCTGCACATCCATAAACTTGGCAGTAGGGGGCGGATCAGTGGCAATTAATGTTGCCACTATTCCCAAGCCATCAAATGAAATAGCTCTGGGAAGAGCCATTGGTAAGCCAGCCAGCTAGATGAAAAGGCTCTGGCAAGTGGCCCCAATCTGATACACATGTGGAGGAGGCCTTGGCAGTAGACCAAGTCTGGCAGGCATGGGGCCTGGGCTAAGTAGCAGGCCCAGGGCCCAAGCAGTGGGCTTGATCCAGAGCATATGGCTGGAGCCATGGACCAGATCATATCCATGGAAAATCCTGCACTACTATACTATGCAACTTCTACAATCATGATACACTGAATATTATCCTCCAATAAACAAAAGTATTCTATTTGCAATCACAGCTTTTGATTAAGGAGCACACAAAATGTAAAAAAAAAAAAAAAATCTCACAAATAAAACTAGCATATGCTCATCTCTAGGTTACACACCCCATGATCTCTCCTTCGGGAAGTACTTGTGCTGCTTCTGTTTGACCCAGTGGCATCCAAAGATGAGGTCTTAAGAATAAAATTGTAAAAGATTATGGATCACAAATATGTACACTACATTGGAATATATACACTGACCGCAAAGCAAGAAGTATAAGAAGTTATATTCAGGCACCAGAATGATAGTATAACAAAGACACGGGTATACACGAAAAAGAGCAGTTAGCAACCATCTCACTTGCTATCCTGTGGCTGTGGACACAAAATACTTGGAGCCCTTTCAAAAGGAAAATGTTTCAAAATGGCAGCAGCTGGTACATTCTAATTATTATATATGAATTAGCTGAGAACAATTCAAAAGCAGCAAAAAACCTCCAAGTCTAACACTGGATGAAGAAGTGTTAAGCTTGGAGCCTTTCTGCTGTATTTGAATTGCTCTCAACTCATTCACACATAACAATTAGAAAGTAGCAGCTGCTGCCATTCTGAAACCTTCCCCTTTTTAAAAGGACTTTCAGCATCCATCTTAAGAGCCAGGGCAACTTTCCACCACTTTTTTGAACGTGGCAGTACCCTCCAGTTGAGAGCCACAACTGGTGCTGCCTTCTCCTGATAAAAACTGACCTTTGCACCTGCTGTACTGCTAGTCCAGGAAAGGCTGTGCCACATGCACTTGCACCTCCGCCTCCTCTATTAAGACCTTCTGATCAGCCTAAAGCAGGCAGAAGTTGGCTTCAATTGTATCCTTTCCTGTACCACCCACACCCACGCTCCTCCCAGAAACAGATGGTGCCTATAGACATTTAGTTCCATGAATCAGAATGCCACTGAACCCAACAGGCATTCACCGGTTGAGGGGGGCTCTAGCCTGCCTGAACCTGCCCCAGCTAGCAGGAGGGAGCACTCCAGCAACCTCACAGGAGGACTGCCAAACCTCCCCTCTCCCCAGTCTCACCCCTCACCTTCCCTCACCCCCCACCCGAGCCTCTTGACAGCAGCAGTACGCAGCTGTCTACTTGGCTCTGCCACAGCTGGAGCTGAGCCAAGGAGAGGGTGAGGCTGGTGCTCACCAGCACGGAGCACCAGCCCAACCCTACAAAAGCACATGGGATGCAGGTGGAAATTGCCCACAGGTGGAAATTAACCCTTGCAGGGAACCTGGGCAGAAGTTCCCCAAGGCATTTTACTCTGGAAAGCCTTCAGCTAATAGCTGATTTAACAAGGGTTAATTTTTCATGCGATAAGCCATTTTAAAAGCACCCTGCAGCTGTGACTATGTGTTACATCACTGCTGTAGTGTGCTTTCAGGGGCCTTATCAAAAAAATGCAACTTGCATAAGCACCCAGAGCCACACATATGGAACTATCCTGAGTGCCTCTGTTTACAAGACTGTGGTAGGGCAGAGGTGGGGGGGCAGGGGTTAAGAGGTTTGCAGTGGACCCTGAGAAGGACTACAGTCCAAGCCAGTTCCTGCCAATTTTAGCCTGATCAGAGGACTCCACCATGGGTTTGATTTAAATCATGATTTAAATCACTGGTCAGGAAGCTTTCATTTAATTGTTATTTTCTACAAAAAGTGCATTCTTGTTGTTCGATATCCTTTATTCATTTAACTTCTTGAACTGCTGCACTTTTAGAGAAAGGTAAAGGCTTGACTCTGTGTACAAAAACTTGCAGCCCAGCATGGGGGGCACCAGGGAGTCCCTGCCTTGGAGGGGCTTCCCCCTAACCCAGGGTCCCCTAGCCCCAGGCAGCACAGGGGAACTCTTCCTCTCCCGAACCCCAGGGCTGCTTGCCTTAGCTGCTGCAAGTCCCAGGGACAGCAAAGGGCAGCCTTAGGGACTGGAGGGAAATTCTTTCACTCCCCTGGAAAAAGTTTTGCCTCAAACTAACAGCAGCTTGGGGAAAACTGGCTGTAGAAGAACAGGAGAATTTCCCTCCACTGCACGGGGAGGCTGCATGGGCAGGCACCCAGCCCCAAGGACTTCTCCCTCCTTCCTGTGGTAGCAGCTGAAGCAATCAGCAGGGGAGGGCTGCTGAGGGTAGGGTTTTCCCTTCCTCCATGTGCTGTGTAGACCCTGGCTAGGGGGGTCTGAGGGTCTGTTCCCCTGCCCCCCATCCCTATGGGCTGATGGATGCAGGCCAGAAGCAGACTAAGGAGTAGAGGGGTGAGGCAGTCCCTGCTCCGCTGCAGTAGACAGTATAACCCAGGGCTGCAAAGCATCCTGGGATGCTGGGGAACTGTGAGTTAACTTGAACCAGGAAGGGATCTGGGACAGAAGTTCTGTAAACCAGTTTGACCTAAATCAGTTAAGTCTAATACTACATCCAACCAGGTTCATCTTCAACCGGTTTTGGTCATTTTAAAAGCGGTTTATGTGCACTGAACTTCTATTCTGTTACAGGTTTAAACCGGTTTCTGATCACTTAAACCAATTTATGTGCAACTTCTGTCCCTAGCCAAGGAGTGAGCATGGCAACTTAAGAAACAATTCCTTGCTTTCACAAGGGCACAAAAACAACATGGAGAGCTCCCCACAACACTCTTAAGTATGAGAGGGATAGAGAAGGAAAAGGGAAAAACTAAAAGAGAAAACTGGAGTTAAATAGAAAGAAGTGATGAGAGTATTAGAGAGGAGGAAACAACTGACAGGGTAGAAGAAAAAAATGAGAGTGCAGAAAGGAAACTGGAAGAATTGAAAGAATGAATGAAGAAGGAAGGGGAAGGAAACTAGAAGACAAAGAAGAATATGGAAGAGAAGAGGATAAAAGAGATTAGTTTCCCCCTACCAAAACACCACTCTCAAATACATGGTGTATACCTTTAAAAATAACAAAAGACTAAGAGCATTTTTTTTACCTCAATGCACACAGCCTGAAATGTCTTACTATAGAAATATACACATTATTCAGCTATTTTCAGCACTTAAGCCTTAGATATTCTTCTCACAGAAGTAGCACTATGACAATCTGATTTTTAAAACATTCCGTTTTAAAATATATGCTAAAGAGCTAAAACAGAGTATGTGCCATTTTTAATTTGTTGCTAAAGAGAAGTAAAATTCTTCCATATGATCAAGTTCTGAACTACATACATTCTGCAGCCTATTTCCAAACTTGTGATAAGTTATATTACACAATTAAATTACACAAGTAACCATTTAGTATTATATTGAAAACACTAGCTTCTCCATTAAAAGTAAATTTATATTCAGACTTTTTTTTGTACAAAAATACAGCATCTACTTTGGTATTTTAGCTCAGTACTGATTAAATACATAGCCTGTATGAACTTTGATACTACACTGAACCCAAGAACTAACTCTATGACTGCCAGTGTTTTGGGAAGATACTATGTCATACACTTCCTAACAGAATGAAATCAAATCAAAAAATGAAATATTAAAGATAAAGACTAAAAGGTAAGATAAGAGGAAAAAACAACAGGTTAGCACGAACCAGATATGAACGCTGACTGGGCCGGTGAGAATACCTGGCCCTTTCTGAATCTTCCTAAGAAAGAAGAAATATATAATTATTTAATGAAAATGATGGGACAGTGAAAAGCAAGCAAAGACAGCAACATGCAGTTATACTGTCTACTCAAAGATGTATCTGGGCAACAAGGGGAAAAAACCTGAAGCAAGCAAATCCATTCAAGACACACGAAAGTGTGGAAGTTAGTTGTCTGGTGTCTACCACTTGATATCATTAAAAGTACAATTGATATGATGTATTATTCCTTAAAGGTCATTGTTCAACAATCTTTTGCTAGCAGTACAGAAAAATGATATTGTCTAGAAATAAATATAGAAGAATATACATAACTCTCATTAGTTAAAAATTCAAAACATAAGAAATCTTAGAATTAGACACTAGAAAAATTCTAGCAAAATGACAAAAAAAACCCTGAATTAAAAAGTTGCTTTAGTTCTAATAAAAGATTTTTTGTTTCATTGTCGCTAATGGTAATGATTATTACCAGCAGTAGAAAGTTGAAGTGTAATTATTCTACATAGTTATGCATTTTACATATGGAAGGCTCCTAACCCACTAAAAGCAGTTGCAGATACTGAAAAAAAATCTTTACTTCTACAGTTTTCAGGCTCATTCTTCCTTCTCCATTACAGAAACAAAGGGCGGTAATTATCGCAATTGAGTCTGCTCTAACATGCTGTAATTATAGCACATCAGAGCAGCCTCACTGCATGTGTATATGTGCCCAAAGTTCTTCAAAGAATGGCTCATTTGCAAACCCTGCATATACTTTCTTCAACCAAAGGATAGGGGGAAAGGGAGGAACCTCAGAGAAAAATATAAAAAATACTTAAATTTAAAATAAGTCATACTATTCCTTAAACTGCTAAGAACCATCCCAGCAAAAAATGTTGCAGGAAAGAACCTGATGAAAAATCTTTTGTATTCAAAAGCTTGTCTAATTTTATCCCAACTATATAGTTGGTCCAATAAAAAGGTGTCACTCAAGTTCACTACCTCACAGGAAACATATTTTGAAACAATTTCTTAAATTTTAGCCTTCCAAATAAAACTTCACACTAAATCTATAATTCCCATAATGAAAAACAACAACAAAACTTTAAAGTGTCTTGCCTACTCCAGTCTTTCATCTGTGAAAAAAATCTAAAAAATGCCTTCAGAATCAGACATTATGTCACAGTAAAGGCCTAGATGAGCGCTTCTCAACCCAGAGTGCCACATCACCCAACAGTGATGAGATAAAGAAGCTGCAGGGTGTCATGCAGTATTAGCACTGTTAGGTGTGTAAACACATGATTTTCAAGATGAATTTAAAGATTTCAAATGTGAATCCATAGTGTTAAAACACTGTGATGTCCTGCCATATCAGCTGTTTTAGCACTACAAAAGGCAACTGGCCACACACTTGTGATGTCTGGCATGCTTAAAAAATGCCAATTCACCAAAAAAAAAATGACAAAATATTTGCTGTTTCAAACAGCAACCTCTGCATGTTTCCAAGATAAATTTAATGTGTGGTCAGGTCTGAGAGACCCCACTTTCCCACCGTGCTCTGATATCCAAAGGCAGACAGGGAGAGCAGATGGCTCCCTGACAGACCACCCAATGGGGAGCTGTGAGGGAGTTCTGTAGGGACCAACTTCAAGGCAGCCCTGTCCTGGGTGCTGTCTGGGGACAAAGTTACAGCACAGCAGGGGCTTGCCTGGATCACCAATCTCTAGTCTCAGACCACTGCAATTGGTCTCCAGTCAAAGGAACTCTAAAGGTCTCACAGGCAACCCGAGAAACAGCTGCAGCAGTACAATTCACAAACCATTAGTAAATTATTCTATCCAAACTTGTGTTAGTTCTTCAGTCACGTGTAAACAGCACGCACAACAGGCAGTCCTGGCCTACCATCCATTTTTGGATATGCCCCCATTTTTTATCATAAGAGCGATGAGAAAGCTACAAAACACAGAGAACACAGAAAATTTGATGCATTTCACAATATGTAAAACAGGTAAGCATCCTGTACAGTTTAAGTTCATCACCTAGTAACATACTGAACAGGAACAGAAACAGGAATAGAACAACTACAAAAATTAAAGCTAAATATAAAAAACTGTCATCTTGATTTTTAATTTGACTTGGTACCACCACAGCATACTGGCCAATATTAATAAGAGAATTACAATTTTCATAAGATCCATTAACATTTTTTAAAAATTTCATACTGAAATTAAGACACTATTAAAAAAATTAACTCCTTAGTGTTCAAAACAAATTGTTCAAACACAGAGATGATAGATTTTCCTTTATTTCTTTTTAATATTGTTACAAGTAACTATCATATGTATTACTTCCAACTCTAATTTGTATTTAGGTTCAGTTTCTCTGTGCATCTGACAGTTCTGAGTTCTGTCAGTTTTATATTTCACCCATTAACCTTGGGTTAAATATTCTCCAAGCTTGTATACATTCCTCCAACAGGAACAGCAGAGAAAAAGCCATACTTGTAAACAAATACCAGTTGATTTAGGGGCACTAATAGTACTTCATTTTAATTCATCCTTTGAAAAAAAGGCTGTATTTCATGATTAAAATGTTCCTTTACTGAAAGCATTAAATATGGCATATTTGTCCATGCAAAAAATTAAGGTCGGACTTTTCTATGTTACTAACACGCTATTACGTGCTTCCAGAAAGCCTAAATAAAATAATTTAAAATAAAAGGACCACAGCCATTTTTAAAAGGTAATATTTAAGTCAGTCTGTTTATTCTATATTTGTGTAATGTTGTATGTATTAAACTCACTCAAGATATTAGATATAACCATTCCAAATGCATTCCCATATCAAGTGAGAAAATATATCAATTAGAAGAGGTGTGCTTTGTATGTTAAATACACAGTGCTACAACCCTATCTGAATAACTGATCTTTTGATTGTAGCATTCTTTATTAGTAATGGAGTTTTTAATTCACAATTTAAACATAAACAAACATCTACATATATGTGGATGCAGATATGGATGTAGAAAGTTATTCACTGCTGGATGCAGCAAATTGCTGCACAGTAAACTACTCCTGGGTGCAGCATCTACATGTGTGCCCAGGTCAGCAGAAACTGAGCCCAAGTGGAGCAGTTTAGATCAGAGCTCCCACCCTGGACTGGCAGCAGCCTCCAGGTGGGGGTGAGCCCCAGGCTCTGGGTCACTGTGTTGTGCAGTGGAGAAGCTGCCCATGCCATGAGGTTCCCGAAGCTCCTGAGCCATGTGGCTTGGCAGCAGGGAGGAGTATGGTCCCCTGCTGCCTGGGCTGACCAGGTACAATTTGTACTCACATCACTGTTTGCAAATGCATTTAATTATAGTAATTTAATACACTATCAAATAGGACTTGCATCTGACAGGACTATCCACCCAATGGTACAGTACAGTAGTCTACACCTACATAAGTGTCATGCGTGAATAGGGGACGAAGCTTTACTGTGCAGTAAAATGCATGGGGAGATGCACCCAGTGATACCTAAAATATACTCTAGGAAAAAAAATAGCAATAGCTGTACTATGAGGAAAATGGCTGCACATGGTGAAAAAAAACAGAAATAGTTTATTTAAGGTAATAAATATAATTAAAAGGAAACTAAATTTTTAGTGTAATGTTATAATAAAGCATCACGATGTATGTTACCTCTTTTTGTTGTCTCTCCAGTTCCCTCATACGTATATCTCTTGCTTCTGCTCGAGCTGCTCGTTTGGCTGCAAGCCTTGCTTCTGCCTATAAGGAAATTTTAGGTCATTAAGTTAATGGCAGCTTTCAAAATACATTTTCTAAATAAAAATGGTTTCATACCCACTTCAACTATTTTTTCACAGAAAGATCCAGATTCAAGTCCGTACTTGCTAAATATTCAAAGAATCAGTCTGACCACAAGCAACAGCTGTAATGGCATGAACAAAAATCACAAAAATGAGTAAGTATTGGAATTTTTTCCCCTAGCTATAAGGGGGGAGGAGGGGAAGCAAGGACAGGGATTAATTTGTGAGCAAAGGCACTCAGTCTACAATGAAAAAAAATCACAAAATACACTTAATACTTGAAGACAATTGTAAAGCTTGTCTACAAGGCTGTTGCCTCCCTTCTGATAGTACACACCAGTTATTACTGTCTGCCAGGAGAGCTGCAGCCAACTTAGCTGTATAATCTAGCGTTTGATATTTTCACGTCTGCACAGACACAGATAGCTATACTGGCAAAACTTGGTCATGCATACTAAGCCTTAGAGCATAGTCGTATCTTTAGCGTCCATGCTGTATTCCTAAATTAACCTCCCAGCTCCCTATTTTATTACCCAGCCTATTTCCAACAGACTGCAGCTTACCTAATTTTAACAGAAAGATTGATTCTTTATTAAGACACTTAATGATACCATATTCTCCATTTAAATGCATACCCTTAGGATTAAAAAAAAAAGCCAAGTTCTTACCCGGAATATTATCTTACCTGAATTCAATGTTGAAAATGCTCATTAAATATAGAAAAAACTAAGTTTTTTCACACCTCACTAAGGCTTATTACCTTATTTCTCAAGAGCCTTAAATTTCTAATAGCAGCCTTGAATCTGAAAGGACTTAGCGCAGTGATTCTCAACCAGGGTTCCATGGTAACCTGGCATGCCTTAGCATCCTTTTAACGGTGCCATGCAGTACTAGGTATGAGAACACCTACACATACACACAATAAACTCTGAGATTTCAAATAAGAATCCAGTCTCAAAAACATTTTGACTTGTGACAGTCTTTGAGTTCTTTGCAAAAGAAAAACTACTCTAATATTTTTCCATAGTCAAGAAATGAGTGAAAACTAAGAGGTGGTATTTTTCAGGGGTGCCTTGAGTCTAACAAAGGATGCTTTAAGTCTAACAAGGTTGAAAAACACTGACCTCATCAGTTCCAGACTGACTCAAAAGCCTAAAAATTGAAAACTACTAGTTAATTTCACCAGTTATGCAGTAAAAGGGAATACGAATATGTCACAAATTAGAGAGCAGGACTGAAGAATTCCTATGTACTTAAGCTGTTATGCTGTCACCAATAGGGAGATAACAGTTGTTTATTGAAAGTAATAGACAAAAAACATTGAGAACAACTTTATATACATTTTATACAGTTAAGTGAATTAAGCAGTTATTCAACATGTGTAAGTGGAGTACATGTACTTCTAATTTATCCAAAGTTTCATGAATTAACGGAATTAGTCTCTTCACAAAACTAGGTGCTGAACTCCCTTCTTCCATCTCCCACAAAACAAAAAAAACCCCTTAGTTCATACATGACTGAATAGTAAGCAAACTATTTTGCTTTAAATAAGCAAGTAATTACTTATCAGAAGTACAATATAAGTAGTTAGCGCCTCCAAGATAATTATGAAGTGGCCAGGATTTGTAGTGGTAAGAGGCAGTAAGTTCTTCTATATTTCAAAATTTAATGCTTAGTTAAAAACATTAAATGCTAACAAAAAAAAGGTTCCTTTCAAGACCATGATGAACTTCAGTAGGATTTATTTAATCTACAGTATTATTTTTATTTTATTTTCACATTAATCTTCTCTCCCTCCTGCAACTTAAATATTTACGTAATAATAAAATGTTATTCTAAAAAAACAGTACAATTGGTACTCAACTACAAACATAATGGGACATTAAAATACAAGTAGTTATCATTTGGTGGCCAGTGTTATGTTGATAGCATATGCCAGGGGCAGTGACATCCGACTCCACCCCACACACAGATTGGGAGGGCATATGCCCCGCCCTGGGACTCTGTCTGGGTGCTCGCAGCAGTAGGAGCCTCCCCATGCCCCTACAACCTTTTTAAGTACCCTAGGCATACGCATTCCCCCAGCTGACAACCACTGGTATATGCCAATGAGGCAGGTGTGAAAAATACCATTTAAAACTATGTAGCTAGTACATCTATACTCAATCTAATACAGAACTTTTTTTTTTATTAAATATTGTGTTATTAAATTATATATTTATTTTAATTTTCCATGTCTAGAATCCAAGAATTGGGGGGAAAGGGGCATCTTAAATTCAAGGTCATCTTGGATTTGGGTAAACAAGTGTATTAGTGGAAGATATGAAAACAGGGAGCTAAAAAAAGGAATCATAAACGAGATACTGAGCTGTTAGGGTTTTCTTTTGCTCTCTGGTTGAAGACTACTTTTCTGCATTAATATCTCCTCACTAAGCTCCACCTGTACCTGATGTCAGGATCTTCCAGATATTAAGAGAATGTCTCACATCTCATTGTCTTTTATGAAGTCATCTATTATGGCAGATGTTCTATATTCAACTCCCCGTACCAGAATCTTAGTAATAGTTCCATGTAATCAGTTAGAGACTGAATCTCCAAGGTACAGATGTCTCTATGTATGACAATTAGCTACTGCATTTCACCAAGAAGATCATCTATATGGATTCCCTTTTTCAACAGACATGGCTCCTCAAACAAGCGCAAAAACTTTAGGCAGTAGTATCTGATGAGGCCACATACAATTTTACCTTCACAACATGCTTCATAACTTTTTCACTAGAAATTGAGAAAGTAAACACCACCCATAAAACACCATTTAGTTCACTCAACTGACCAATTTCAGTGAACTTCACTGATTCAAGAATCCAAAATAAAGACTATATAAAATGACAAACATTATGCCACAAACAATGGCGTGCCCTAATTCTGCTTAGTTCTTACTGAATCTATTTCATACACTTTGCATACTCAAATTACTGGCAACCCACGCTTAACGCAGTTTCACTTAGGACTATTTCACTATAGTGCTAATTTAAAATTAATATCTGATTTCGCTTAGTGCTGAGCCAGTTTCGTTATAGTGCTCATAGAAGCAGCAGCGGCAGTGAGAAGTGGTGAGTGGCAGCAAGTGGGTGGGCGGGAATGAGCACAGAGCCTGCACTGGTGCTGTAGAGTCAGGGCCAGCAGGGGCCTAGGGTGGGACAGCAGAAGCGGGGGCCTGGGCTGGCACAGTGCCACAGCAGCTGGTGGACAGCGGGGGTGGGGAGAAGCAGCAACAGCGAGCAGCGAGTGGGAGCAGGCAGGGGGGGCATGAGTGGGGCCTCCGCTAGTGCCTGGAGCCAGGGCTGGTGGGGATCCAGGGTGGAGTGGTAGAAGCGTGGAGCTGGTATGTGGGGTCGGTGGGGGCCTAGGATGGAGCAGCAGAAGCGCAGGGCTGGCACATGTGGGTTAGCATGTGGGACCAGAGAGGCTGGCAGGCAGACAGAGGGGTGGGAAGAGGCAACAGTGGTGAGAAGCTGCAGCAAGAAGTGACAGTAACTAATTATCTCTATTTACATTAATTCTTATGGGCAAATGGATTTCACTTAGTGCGGTTCTGGTTAATGCTCAGTTTTTCTGGAACCAATTAAGAGCGTAAAGCTGGGGCTGCCTGTATCAGCACCCAGTTTATACTGCCAGTATTAACCTTTCTGTACATTTAATGAAATCAGGATAAAAAGGTGAGGGAATTCCTGTACTACAAGAAGTCTTATAATCCAGGCAGTTACTTCTCATTTTGCAGTAGCAGTAGTTTATTTATAGCTTTTGCCAAAACAGTACAATAAAATGAGCAATACAAAATATGTATAACATGATAATTTTTGCTAAAAGGCAAAAGAGTTTTGCTATAAGCTTATGGTAAGATTATCCATTCTACCAGTTTACACAAAAAAAACCCAAACAAAACATACTGTACGATGATATAAAAAGATAAAGTGAAGTAGTGTATCTACATGCTATCCTCTTAAGTTCTTAAATTTGTCTTGTTTTAAATTATAGGGGAAATATTGGGTCTGTGACTTGGAGTATACTTCTCAGGTCATATTTCTGGAGGAGAATGTACACATTACTTAGTTGCCCAAACAAAGGTTTATTTGACAGAGGACAGGCTTCCAAAGTTCACTTGTTAGGCTACCAGATAGGTGTAAAAGAGCTGTTCTTTGTCCAATAGTTTAGAGTTCTTAATTGAGCTAAAGGGTTTACCTGTATCACCCTGGTTTTGGAGCACATGAGCCCCCCCACCCCATCAAACAATTTGACAGAGATAAATGTTGCTTTAAAAAGTCATTAGAAATCTTGGCTGGACCAAAGGAACAGCACCTGAGAGTTCTGCTCTATAGAATAACATGGACTCTACGTTGGATCTACAGACCTTAAGCGCTTCCCAAACTAATTTGTGGCGCTACTATGTAATTGCTTGTTAAGATAGCACCTGTGGTATGCAGACACAAAGATTTACACACATAAGAGAAACAGAATGGAATCAAACAGCTGATGAGTGTTATCACTTCTATATTTAGAACACTAAATATGCACTGGTGGTCCTTCGCAGTTTAACAAAACACGTAACTGTACTTACTATTAATGACAAAGTTGGAAGAATCCTGAATATGAGACAGTAACCCATTTTTACCAGGTTTTCATTTAGAAGTGTCAAAAAAACTGGATCCCCTAGATTCTTTCACAAAGACTAGATTTAATTTTCTTGCATTTTGGATGTCTGAATTTTCAGAAAATCTTCAGAAGCATCTAATTTTGGATCCTTCAACATTTAATCTATGTAGCCTCTCACACAAAACAAAAAAAACCCCAGACAGAAATATGGGGAAGCTGACTTAAATGTAATTTGCACAAAAAGACTTTAATAAAAAACAATGGGGAAAGAATAGAATTAAACATTAAAGGCCATAATATATAACAATTCACTGTTTTTTCAAAGAACACTGGGGAGAATATTTAAGTAACTGATGGAATCTGCAGTCTGATCACATTAACACAAGATTACCTTCCTCGATTTATTACTGATTTTTAATGTTAAATGGTAAGAATTCAGTGCTGCAGCATTCTAACAGAGATTCTGAACTAAAATGAGGAAGTTGCCTCTGTTTGTGCTGGGACATCTAGCCCATGAATCCTCTCTCTCAGTCTAAAGAATACAGAAAGTCACCTAACTCTGTCTGAAGAAAAGAACAAAGGTTAGGCAACCATATTCAAATACTTTAAGTAGATTAGATAATATACAATGAGTGTTATATAATATGCCTCTGCTTCTCTTTCCAAAGGACCTACTGCTGATGTAATTTAAAGCACAGGCTGTTTTCATATTACACAAATTTTTACTGTAGATAACTGAGTGCCAAGTAGGATGTCTCTAGTTAATACCTGCACAAAAAAATGTTCTTTAAAATTTGATTTTTAAAATATACTACTTTATCAAGATCATGTGTGTTTCAATCTCTTTTTAAATAGGCCTCATTTCACCATACAAAAAAAAATGGACTGCTTACCAAACTCCCAGCACAAAGTTTGGGCCCAGGCTACTAGGAATAGTTTAAGTTAACATGATATTCAATTAGATACAGAGAAAACTTATTACAAACACAGCATTCTGGATTATGTAAAACATGGAGTGTAACTTATTAGTTAGGATGTTTGACTAGTGTAGGCAAATTGAATTTCCAAAAACAAAGAAAATAAAGCCTGGGCGTTTTGCTCTTTTTCACACAAGTTTCCATTCAGCTGCAGAAGGATGGATTATGAAAGGATTTTGCTCCTGGCTGTAAAAGTATTGAGATGTACATGGGCAGACCTAGGAATTCAAAAAGGCAGGGTGTGGGGGATGCCACTCATGCCACAGGGGAAGCTGCAGCCTTCCCACCCGCTTTCCCACCCTGTGTGGGCAGACTGTGCCACAGCAGCAACTACCAGGGACTTTTTGGAGTCCCTAAAGCAGGTAAGACTTCCCCTTCCCCCACTGCTCTTGGCACCTTTTCCTTCCCAATCCAAGCACCTTCTCTCCTCTCCTATTCCCCCTCACACCCCTTCCAGCAGGAGTTGCCTCCAGGTGCAAGAACGGTGGACCTGCCCACTGTCTCCAGTTGACCCAGGTGTTGGGGAGCCCCAGGGCTGTTCCTCCTCTGCTCCAGCTGAGTGCTTTGGTAAGCAGCGGGTTGTGCTTGACACAGAGAGCAACTGGACAATGAGTGGGTCTCACCCTTCTAGCACTTGCTCCCAGATCACAGGAGACACCTGAGTGTGGAGAGGGAGCAGAAGCATGGAAGCCTGCTACCAATGCTGTCCCAAGCTGACCTGGAAACAGAGGAAGCCTCAGGTCCACTCCTGCTCCATTCCAGCCAAGGGCTGCAGAGATCAAGTGTACTGGGTGCCAGGTTGGTGGCAGTGAACAGGTCCCTGCTCCTGCCTCTCCACTGCATTTTCCCACTGGCCCAGAGGCTTCAGATGCAGGGAGGAGCTGGGCAAAGTTCTGGGCAGGGCTAGGGACAGCAGTGTCAGTGGTGATCCCCACCCTCCAGGCCCTCATGCAGTCCCCACACTTCTCTTGCAATCTGGGAACAGAACAGCAACAGATGGGTCCCCCCTCCTCACCTGCTCTGTCCCCACCAGGTGTCCCAACCCAGCTCAGGGCCCCAGCCATGCCTCAACACTGCAAGGGACCCAGGCATAGGGAAATGGAACATCTGGCACTGTGAAAGGGGGGTACAACCACATCACTGCACACCCACCCCCTCAGATCCATCCCTGGAAATACACACGAATACTGAATCCTAAACCTTTTTCAATCTGTATAATGAATGAAGCAATCCTGTGGACTTGGATGTGACAACGCAATTAATAATCATAATATATTAGCATTTCCTAATCTTAATACTTATCTTATTCCTCCATACTCTTTAAGGTAGGTTACAAAGTTAAGCAAGCAGGAAGGTTACAAATTTATGAGATCTGTGTGCTGATCCAGAAAGGGTGGTCAAAGTCTGGGGTATGTGTTCCTTGTCACCCTTAAGATGAGGGAATCTCATTCCCATGTATGCACATCCCTGCCCAGGCTGTCAGAAAAGAGATGCTGGATCTGTTTGCTGGGTCTAAAAAGACTGACCCAATTCCCTCATACAGTACTCCCAGAGGGGACTGTCTGCTCCTAATACTCCAAGTACCATGTATGTTTCGGCTACTGCAGTGTATTTTTTTCTTTTAATGTTCATTTGTTTAAAAAACTTTGCTTATAAAGTGTTTTCATCTCCACTCTTTCGTAATTCCATATTTAAAATACTTGGGAAACCCTGCTACATTTCTTTATTCTGTAAAATATGATTAAGCTGACACAACCTGTATGTTCACTTCAGGTTACTTCTGAAAGCTCACTCAAGTTAACAGAACTCTCAAAGGTGCATCTTGGTGCAGAATTTTACTGCCATGCCCTGCCACCCCCATATGAATACATTCTCTTCTGTACTATGCACACCATGACTTTTACTACAAAATGCCTCAGAGATCTTTATACAAAGCTCTACTCCCAGGTAATAAATACTAATCTCCTATCCTCTCCACCATACCCAATGCCTAGCAGGACCAAACACTCTCTTAATACCCTGTTAAAAGTACAGACTTTAATTCTTCACCTCTGGAAAAATCCATTCTCCCAGTCTCCTAGATATTTGGAAGCCAATTACTCTGTTCAGAAAAATCTTTAAACCCAATATATATTTTTAAATTCACTTTGGAAACAACTGTTAACCCTCCCATTGAAGTTATAAATAAAAACATTTATAAACACAGGCTAATTACTCATAATTAAAATTCAGGATCTAACTATACAGATAATCCAAAGTATGGTATTTTAAATCAGGTCGAGATAAACAATTTTTCAAAACGCTCTTGATTTAAAGCAGTCATTTATAGTTTTCATTTATCTTGAGCTAAGGTTCATTAGCATCATGCAAAATACGTAACCAACTACTTAATTTTTTCCTGCATAGGAAATCAGTACTTCTAGCAAAATTATTAAATCCAATGGCAAGCTAAAATATATTAGCTAAAGTAATATGTATGTATATAACTATTAATAGTAATATGTATGTGTGTATATTCCATACATGACACAAATGTGTGTGTGTGTGTGTGTGTGTGTGCACATACACGTATAGATCAATATGTTACGTTGCCTGATGTATTTTAGTTTGCCATTGGATTTAACAAAGGCAATGTACACATGAGCATGCACACACTCGCATTTTATATCAACTCTAAGTTCTACGACTAGTTATTATACATGCATTAAACAATTTTTATGGCTATATTCTAAGTTAAACCATTTCACCTGTATTTTCATATAATAAGAAAATATAGATTTACAAACCTCTCTGGCAATGTGACTTAAAGCTTCATCTTCTGCAGAAAATCTGTCTTTTACTGGAGTTCTTTTCCTTCCTGACCCAGGAGTACCCATTTTTATTCTCTAGTTTTATTTCTTTTGCAAGAAGAAACTGGACAAAATTCCACTTTCTAATCTGGAAGGGAGAAAGAAAAGAAAAACATAGAGAAATATAGTCAAGTTTATTCTTTGTTTATAGATGCATGCTCAGTACTTGAGAAGTCTGCTGCTACGAGTATTATTCTGGAAGTTTTACTTCTGGGGGAAGAAATACAGAGAAATTTCATAAAGTCACCACAATTGCTAACGAATCAAAGCTTTCATTTTAACAAATACTACAACCATAAGGTTAAGACATTACGGCCAGATGCTATTCCACTTATTAAACATCTAAATGATCCTATTCACCCTGAAATACCCTTTAGCATGTCTGCTTTTGTAGTGAGCCTTCAATAACAACCTTAAGACTAAGTCACAGAAAAGGAGTCAGGAAAATGCCCAAACACCTTTTGCTTTAACAATTATTCAAGCACTCATACTTCAATGTATTGGATCACATTCTATACCTAAGTACCACTTAAAATGAGTGATAGATTGAACACAGACTCAGATTTATTGTTTCCTAAATCTGAGGATAGCTCCTGTTTCCTAAATCTGAGGATAGCCAATGCACACAGTTTTTCTAAGATGCAGAGTAAAAATAGCACCTTGTTTGTCACCTTCCAGTATTTCTTTCCAGAACCCTGGGGAGAGTAATGACGTTCAAAAGTAAGCTTCCATATAATTCTGTGGCTCCTAAGGAAAATTATGAGCAACAGAAATCCAAATGCTGAAGCTATTAATTTAAGGAAAGACCATCCCAAAATAGAAATGGAGAGAATAGGCAACAACACTGTTGAAACAGCTTCCTTCATAGCACCAGGTGGTTTTAAGTGGATTGTAATCCACTGTTTACTACACGTAGAAGGCTGAATGAAAAAAAAACAAACCATAAATTGCACCACCTACTCATATTTTTGCAGAATGGAGGGAGAAAAATGCTAGTTACAAAACAGATAAAATCTGCCCTATCCTAGACCCCTATTCACTTGCCAATTACAGAAACCAATAGAAGCAAAGTGGGCACATTACTCCAATCCTTTACCTACAAAGCCACCAGGCAGTAGAACATACAACTCCTCTCCTCCTCAAATTTCCCAAAAAAATGCTACTTCTAGATATCCAATTGCTCTCCAAATACTATTTAATTAAGAATACTTATGTTGAGTGAAAAGTGATTAAGAGCCCCAAGAATATAGGGAAAGTACCCTGTTTACAACGCAAGTTACTTTACCAGCAGCTAAAAAGGATGGGGCTTCTCAGCAGGTAATTAAAATGGTTTAAGAGGCCTGAAAAGCAATCTTTTCTCAAACCAAAATAAGTTCCCCCCACCCCCAAAATTGGTTACAGATTGTGACACCATTTTATTCCCTGTTAAGCCAAAGACAGCTGGGTATTTTCCAAAGACGCATTAAAGTTCAGGAAAATTAATAAAATTCAGGTCTTCTTTTATGACAAATCCCAGTTTCCTCTATTTGCATTCCCAGACAAATTAAATCTAATGGCTCCCATAAGACAGAAATAATCTTTCACTGAACTTCTACTGGTTCTTCTTCTCCTGCTTCCTTTCTTCAGTACATGCATTTAAAGAGAAGACACTTGAAAACAAAAGAATATGTGCATTTTGCCTCTTTTTTGCTTTTTCAACATAATGACTAAATTAAGTACTTGATATAGCAGGTATGCTCTGGAGCACATATTAGAAACTCAGTGCAGTCTTATTAGTTACTAACTGCTACTCTGTTTCTTCAGAACTTCCACAGAAGTAGGATGTCATCTATTTTCCCCTCAAAAGCTCGCAACCAATACCATCTGCACTCAAAAGAAAGACAAACAAAAAAAGTGTTATGCTGGGCCAAACCACAGGTCCATCTAACTCAGTATCCTGCATCTTAATAGCAGATAAAAGATGCTAAGGCAGGGGTGGGCAATTATTTGGGCCCATGGGCCACACTGGGAGTTTTGCTGAGCTGCTGCAGCCTGGGCCAGCACCCCCACCCCCACCCCCACATGGAACAGATCACCAAAATTTATTGGGATGGGACCCCAGGTGGATGGGAAGCAGTGTTTGGGAATGAAATGGGCAGGCAAGGCCAGAATCACAGGGAAGTAACAATGCAGGGTTGAGGCCTGGAAGAAAGCTAGGATCTGCTGCCTGCACGCCCCTGTGACAGGCGCTGGTTCTGCAGGCAGGGGTATACATGGAGTGCATTATGGCTCTGCCCTGACCCTGGCCCTACACTGTCACGGCCCCAATATCCTGGCCCCATCCCATCTGTCTCGCCACGTGGATCCTGGCCAGTCTCCATGGAGACTCCAGGACAGCAGGACTGTGACAGCAGGGAGCCAGGCAGAGCCGCAATCTGCTTCCTGCACGACCAGGACTCTGTCCTGGGCCCAGCCCCCATGCTGTCCCCACCCAGTGATCCCAGGGTCTCAATGCAGACCGGCAGGGAGCTGCATCTGGAAGCAGGATCGGTGGGGCTAGGTCTAGGATCTTGGTGCAGTGACTCCCTACACACCCTGCCTGAGGCACTGGCACCTATCACAGGGGCATGCAGGCAGCAGATCATGGCTCTATCCCGAGTCCCAACACCACAGTCACCACCTCATGGCCAGGGGTCACTCTGGCCATGCCCACCTGCCTCGCTCCTGGACATTGCTTTGTGCCCACATGTGGCACCATGTCCTGCCCACATGGACAGGCCAGGGGGTCCAGGCAGCAAAGCCAGGTCCAGCAGCAGCTGGAAGGAGGTACCACCGATAGGAAATGGAGTTAACAGGCCACATAGAGTTCCATGGGCCAAACACTATGGGGCTGCCATTCATCCCAACCCCACTGCATGCCTGGCGGCAGAACGATGTAATCTGGGCTGCCCCCCACAACTGAGCCAGGTGAGGCTGAGGGACTTGCCGTGGGCTGGACAAAATTCTCTTGGCAGTCGGATCCAGCCCATGGGCTGTATTTTGTCCGCCTCTGTGGTAAGGGAAAGAGTGCTTATACCAGCAGTCTCCAACCTTTTTAAGTAAGAGATCACTTTTTGAATTAAAAAGCAACCCAGGATCTACCACATGACACTCCCACCCCCACCAGATCAGTCTGTGGGGAGGGGACAGGGGGTGCAGATTGAGGTGCTGGGTGAAAAAATTATTTGAGGGCACCCCCACAGCCGGTAAGCCTATGGGGAAGGAACAGGGGAAGGGGAAAGGGCCATGGAGGGGGATCAAGGCCCTAGCTGTGAGGGAGGGAGCAGGGCACAGGCAGGAGAAGGGGGCTAGGGTAAGTGGGGCCCTGGCCGGGCCATGAGACAAGCAGAGGCCCAGGGTAGCCCCACTTACCCCAGGCCCTACTCCTGACTGTGCCCCACTCTCTCCCTGACCGCTGAGGCCTCAATCTGGCCCACCCTCCCCCCACAGTGGTAAGGGAGGGAGTAGGGCTGGAGCAGAGACAGACCCCATACAGCCAGGCCAGGACACAAGACGGAGTTGCAAGTGGCTTGTCTGGGAGGCGCCTGCCACTGCATGAACACTGGGGAGGGCATGGGGGCTGTGTGCCCAGGATCTGCATACAGGGAGGGTGGGCTGCCGCTGCAGGCTGAGTTCAGGGCCACGCCAGGCTCTTCCTAGGGTGGGGGCTGGACCGCACTGCACTTGGGGTGGGCAGCAGTGGCACTGGAAGACGGGGTTGGGGGAGCTACAGCAAATTTTTGGGTGGCTGCAGCCTCTCCTTGCCCCAGGTAGCCCTGCTCCCAGCCCTGAGTGCAGCCCAACCCAATGCCCCCACAGGGAAAAGCCCAATGCCACCCGGCCCCAGCCCACAGTGGTAGCCCGCCTTGCCCCACGATCAGATCCAGGGGCACCTGCCCCCACTCTCCCTCCCCCCCAGCCGAGCTGCTCATGACTCTATCCTACGCCCCACCCTGGCTGTGTGGCACCTGCCCCAACCCCACTCCCTCCCTCCCTCCCTCACCACTGCGTGTGCACCCCTCCTCACCCCTGCTGTAGCCACCCACGCTGTCCAACGTTTGGGAATGGCACATGCTCCCCCAATCTATGCACAGGGCGTATGCAGCCACGTGCTGAGCTTTGCTCTCCAAGCCCTGCTGTAACTGCCCCGGGAATGGCCTGATGCCATGCGTGTCCTACCACTGGACTGCGTCTTGCATCCTGCCCGCCCAGCAGCAGGACGCAAGTGGCATCACGCTACTCCCAGGGCAGCTGCAGTGGAGCTCGAGGCACAAAGCCCAGCGGTCAACAGCAGCTGCCTCCACTATGCACACAGATGGGGGGGGCTTGTTCCCCCCTGCCTCTGCCAGGTTGTGCACAGTAACAGAAGCCCTCCATGCCCTTGGAAGAGCCACCTGGGCTCAATCTTCCCACCACCTGACCCGGCCAGAGTCCCACTCCCCTTAGCCCCTGCTCCTGCCTGTGCCGTACTCTGTCCCTTACTACAGGGGCCTTGATCTGGCTCCCACTCCTCCTCTCCCCTACAGACTGACCTGCTGGGGGGGGAGGGGGGGGCATGTGCACACGTGTGTACACGCTCAATCTCCCCAGCCTCAGATCAACTGCAAGAGGATCTGCGACCAACTGGTTGGTGACCACTGGCTTATACAGACTTGTCTGTCCCATCTCCCAAGCTCCTTTAAAAAAATCCAGCATTCAGAGGCTCAGGAAATTCTAATTTGGAGACTGCACCCCTACTGTGTTTAGTAATCAATGACAGCCCTATCCCACCTGAAATTGTTAACTAACCGGTTTATAACAAAAGGAAGTTCTTTTTCACACAACATGCAATTAATGTATTGCCACAAGATACTGCAGACTGACAATTTAACCAGGTTTTAAAGGTGACTGGACAATTTCACTACATGTCTCGTAGCTCTAGCATGAGACAATGCATTATAGGTTCCTGTATTCTTTTCCGTGCCATAACAACTACTATACCCACCCCACTCGAAAAAAACCCAGGACTTATAAATGTGGCATTTAATGTTAAAGAGAATAAATTAAAGATACTGAGAAGTTCAGACACTA